CTGGATATATCTCTAATATTGTATATTCACTATACTAAATAAAAATACATATGAAATGTGAAAAGTAATTTTATTAATGATGAAAATGGAATGCCAAATTTAAAATCAACATAGAAATGAAATGATGTCATAGTCAAATAATAAATTTTTCAAAAATATAAAATATAAAAAATCACAAAAATAAAAAATATAAAAAATGTTATATATTCATAAAAATAAATATTGGGTACATCTTTAATATTATACATCATTATATTGAACAAAAATAAGTATTATACATACGAAATAATTTTATCAAAGATGGAAATGTAACACATGAGTTTATTTTTAATCATAATGTTACTTTTGCTAATTTTCAATTTTTATCTTAACTATGATATATCTAAAATTTAAACAATTAATACGAAAGGCTTTTCTCATGTGCAATGCACATGCTTAATTACTAAATGCACAGAATGGTCAATTGAATTGGGATGGCAGTTTTCCCTATAAAATCAGGCCCCAAGCTATATGGGTAAGGTTTTCCCTGCTCTTAAATGGGGACTGGGTTTGCATTCCCTAAACCCGCCCCAAAACAATTGGTAAATTATTAAAATATTCCTAGGGTTAATATTCATTTCTAAATTATCCTTGAATTCCCCCTAAATTCCAAAAACCTAGGATTCCATAATCACATTTCTTAAATACCCCAAATTCCCATAATCCTATTTTTAAAACATCATTGATATTTTGATGTGTTTTTAGGTAGTTTTCTAAGGGTGGGAAAATTATAGGATTCCATCTCCTCAATGAGGGAAGGTTTCCTACCTCGAACCCACCCTAGCACTAAGGACAAGATGGGGATGGGGTAGGAGATTTTGGCTATGTGGTGGAGACGGGGAGGGGTTGCCTTGCCCCATCCCATGAATCTTCTTTGAGAGAAGCAATTTATCTATTTTCTTTTCTATTTTTTTATTTTCTTTTGTTTTAAAATATAAAAAAGTATTCATTGCCTATTTTGACTAGATTAATAAAGTTGTACACTATTAGAGAGAGAGAGAGAGAGAGAGAGAAGGGACAAAGGGAGTAGTAATAATAACTACTGTATTTTAAAATTTACAATATTTATAATAATTAACAGTTTTTATTAATTAATAGTATTAACAATATTTATAAAAAATAATGTATTTATTAATTAAAATAATTTTAATAATTATAGATTTTTTTAAATAATTATAGGTATTTATTAAAAAAATAGTAATAAATACAGTATTTTTATTAATTATATTAATACTAATTAATTAAAAGTATTTATTAAAATACTGAATTTATTAATTAACAGTATTTTTAATTAATATAGTAATTTTAATAATTATAACAATTTTAATGATTATAGTATTTTAATTAATAATTACAATACTTTTAATAAATATTGTAAATTTAATAATTACAATAGTTTTATTAAAAATAATGTATTCTTAATTAATAGTATTTTTAATAATTACAATATTAATAATTAAGCACATTTTACAGTATTTTCAATGATTGTAGTGTTGTTAATTACAATATTTATTAAAAAAGTATTAATATTTTTTATTAATTCATTGACTAAAAGTTTTTTAAGTTGTTAATTAATGTAAGTTATAACTTAAATTTTATTTTAAATATTATTTAAATCATATTTGAAATTGTAAGAAATATAATTAAATTTTAAACTATAATTAAAATTAATTATATTTAAATAAGTAAATTTACATTTAAAGAACATAAATTAGCCAAGAAAATAACCAAAAATAAAGTACCAATAATTTTTTCATAAATACCAAAAATTGTCCAAGAAATTACCAAAAAATGGATTAACATGATTTCCAATAAATATGATAAATTACCAAAAATTAAAAAATATAACCATTAAAATTACTTTTTTGAGCAAAGCTATTTATCTATTTTCTCAATTTTTTGCATTGTTCCTATTTTCTTTTGTTTTAAATATAAAAAAGTAACCATTAAAGCTGCACGATATTAGAGAGAGACCTTTGGGTTTTTCAAGGCCTCTTATTTTAATGCATATTATTTTTACATTTAAAAAAGACATTTAAGAGAAAGAGAGAGAGAGGGGGGGGGGGAGTAGTGCTAATAATTATTGTATTTTACTAAAGATAATTACAATATTTTTATTAATGAATAGTATTAATAGTATTTATTAATTAACAGTATTTTTAATAATTATAGTATTTTAAATAATTATCAAAATTTATTCAGAAAATAGTAATAAATACAACATTTTTATTTAATATAGTATTTTAATTAATACAATATTTTTAATAATTATAGTATTATTAATTAAATAAAAGTATTAAAATACTAAAGTTATTAATTAACATCATTTTTAATTAATATAGTACTTTTATTAATTACAATAGTTTTAATAATAACAATATTTTAATTAAATATAATTATTTATTAAAATTAATGTATTCTTTATTAACATTATTTTCAATAGTTAACCATATTTTATAGTATTTTCACTAAATGTAGTATTGTTAATCGCAGTATTTATAAATTAATAATGTTTATTAAAAATATTAATATTTTTATTAATTCATTAATTAATAGTAATATAAGCTATAATTTAAATTATATTTGAAACTATAAGTAATATATAATTAAATTTTAAACTGTAATTAAAAGTAATTATAGTTAAATTATTTATTTAAATATAATTGAAGCTATAAATAGCATAAAATTACATTTAATGAACAGAAATTAGCCAAGAAAATACCCAAAAATAAAGTACCAATACTTTTGTCATAATTACCAAAAATTGTCCAAGAAATTACCAAAAATGGATCAACATGATTTTCAATAAATATAATAAATTACCAAAAGTTAAAAAATATAACCATTAAAATTACATTTTGAGAGAAGGTATTTTTCTATTTTCTCATTTTTTTTGCATTGTTCCTATTTTTTTTTTGCTTTAAAAATATAAAAAAGTAATCATTGCTTATCTTGATTAGATTAATAAAGCTGCACACTATTAGAGAGAGAGACCTTTGGGTTTCCCAATGCCTCTTATTTTAATGTATGTTATTATTGCATTTAAAAAAGACATTTAAGAGAGAGAGATGGKGGGGGGGGGAGGGGGAGTAGTAATAATAATTACTGTATTTTAAAATTTATAATATTAATAATAATTAATAGTATTTTTATTAATTAACATCATTGTATTTATTAATTAACAATATTGTTAATTAATATAGTACTTTTAATAATTGCAACATTTTTAATAATTACAATATTTTAATTAATTAACATAATTTATTAAAAATAATGTATTTTTATTAATAGTATTTTTAATAATTATATTATTAATAATTAATCATATTTTATAGTATTTTCAATAATTGCATTATTATTAATTATTGTGTTTATTAATTAGCAGTGTTTATTGAAATATTGTATTATTAAAAAACATTAATATTTTTTATTAATTCATTAATTAACAATTTTTTAAATTGTTAGTTAATGCAAGTTATGATTTAAATTGTATTTCAGATATTATTTAAATTATATTTGAAACTGTAAGTAATATAGTTAAATTTTAAATTGTAATTAAAAGTAATTATATTAAAATGATTTATTTAAATATAATTTCAGATATAAGTAGCAGAAAATTACATTTAATGAGCCAAAATTATCCAAGAAAATAACCAAAAATAAAGGTACCAATAATTTTGTCATAGTTACCAAAATTTATCAAATAAATTATCAAAAATGGATTAACATGATTTCCAATAAATATGATAAATTACTAAAAATAAAAAAATATAACCATTAAAATTACTTTTTGAAAATATGTACTAATTATCAACAATCTTCAATAAATAAATGTAATTAGTTCATAGTGTATTTAAAATAATTTGTTTTTAGACATTAGTGCTTCACATTTTGCTCCAACTTTCAAACGTTTCCAGACATCATATACACTACTATAAATTACTGAAAAATGTTTTTTTTTTAAAAGCAAAAAACATGTAAAAAAATGTTGTAAAGTAATCGGGTTGATGCGAGACCCATTTTGATCGTCCGGGTGAAGAAGATGATCAAAATGGGTCTGTGATGGCCTATTTTCAATAGATCTGAGTGCAAAAAGACGGGTCATCATGGACCCATTTGTGTAAGGTTTGGGTTCAATGGATCCGTGTGATGTATGAAATAATAATAATAATAATAATAATAATAATAATAATGCACGGGTATGATTAATATTTAATTATTCATTCATTATAATCAATTATTTTTTATGCTATGGCTTCATTTGTGATTAGATGTACTTGAACCTTTCATTACCATTATGTGGCTTCTTTGTGTTTGCTATAGTTACTTTCAAGAATATTATATGCCTTCTTTGTACATTTTCATTCATGTCCATAAACCAAGCAATTGATTTTGTTTTGGCCATTATTTTTATAATTTGTTTATAAATCTTGATTGATTTATTTTTTATTGGGAAAATTCTCGATTAGTATCCAATACTTTGAGTATAGTGCCACTTTAGTCTCCAAACTTTAAAATGTGACAATTTAATACCCAAACTTTAAAAACATGACAATCTAGTACTTGTTGTTAACTAACTGATAATCAGTTGCTAAGTGGCATTTGAAAAAGACACAAATGTCCTTCAAGTGTCTTCTAATTTTCTTTATCAACCATCTAAACATTGACATAAAATTAACAGTCCCAAATCCTTGCCTTTTCCATTTAAGAAAGTTGGGACTTGAAGGGCATTTGTGTCCTTTTCAAATGCCACTTTATGACTGGTTAACAGTTAATTAACGGCAGGTATTGAATTGTCACATTTTAAAGTTCAGAGACCAAAGTCACGGTAGGCCCAAATTACAGGGTACTAATTGGGAATTTTCTATTTTTTATTAACAAAACCCGTACATCGCACGGATCCGCTTAAATAAAAGTACGGAACCATTCGGATTCGTTGAGTTTCATGGGGTGGGAAATTGGGAATGGGACCGCGATCGAGTCGTCCGGATACGGATACGGTAAAAGTTGTATTCTTCGTCCGTCCTCCGGTCCTCAATCTTTCATGGTTACTGGTTAGCAAACGAAACAGCAATCGCCATGTGATGTAGCTCCACTGCCACAGCTGTTCAGTTCAGCTCCTACACTTACAGGCTAGAAGAGGAAGAGGATTTTGAAGTCTGCAGCCAATGGCGCCCCGTCCTCCTTCCGCTGCTTAATCGAAATCTCTTGCCTTGGCCATTCCCCTTCCTGCTCTGGTTCATCCTCACTACCCATTGAATGGGTGGAACATCCCAATTGCTGCAGAACTTCCTCAAAAATGGACGCGGGCCAGCTTCTCTTTGTGTTGAAGACGCGTTGCTTTTATTCGATGAGATGGTTCGGTTGCGACCCTTCCCACCGGTTTGGGCTTTTGATAAACTTTTGGCTTCTCTTGGGAAAGCGAAGCTTTATACAACAGCTATTTCCCTGTATAGAAAGATGGGTTCTTTACCAATCCGTCCCACTCTCTATACTCTGAACATGGTAATGAATTTCTTCTGCCACTCGAATCGAGCCGATTTGGGCTTCTCTCTATTTGGAATCATCCTGAAACGAGGCTATGAACCAGATGTTGTGACTTTTACTACCATGATTAGGGGACTCTGTGCTGGAAATGAGATCGCCCAGGCGATGGAGTTGTTCTACAAGATTATAGACAATGGCAGCTACATGTACGGCGTGGTCACTTATGGAACTATCATTAATGGGCTTTGCAAGACTCGAAACACCTGCAGGGCTCTTAGAATCCTCAGAGAGATGGAGAAAAAAGGTCAGTGTAAACCTGACTTACCAATGTATAGCACAATCATTGATGGATTGTGCAAATTAAGGAGGGACTGGTAAACGACGCCCTGAACCTCTTCTCAGAAATGAAAGAAAAATACATATCACCTAATGTTATCACCTACAGTTCTTTAATTTATGGGCTCTGCAATCTTGGCCGGTGGAAAGAAGCTTCAAGCATTTTTAACGAGATGGTGGACCGTGGAGTCTCACCAAACGTGGTGGCATACAACATTTTGGTGGATTCTTTGGCCAAAGAAGGGAGGATTAGTGAAGCACGTGATGTGTTTGAAGTAATGCTGCAAAAAGGGAGAGGAGCCTGATTGTATCACTTACAATGCTTTGATTCATGGCATGTGTCATTCAGAGATGTGGGAAGAAGCCATGAGGTTGTTAAATGAAATGGTGGAGCGAGGACTCTCACCAGATACTGTGACCTACAATTCGTTGTTGGATGCTCTTTGCAAGAAAGGAATGACTACAAAAGCACACAAGCTATTAGAAGTAATGATTCAAGCAGGGGTGGAGCCTGATATTATAACATACACTGCATTGATAGATGGATACTGTTCACATGGTAAAATGGATGAAAGCAAAAGAGGTCTTTACTTCCATGGTGAGTAGGGGTCTTGAGCCTGATATATTTTCTTATAACAGGTTAATTAAAGGTTATTGCAAAAGTGGGAGAATAAACCAGGCAATGCAGCTCCATAGAAAAATTCATCAGAGAAGATTGATGCCTGATTCTTTTACTTACAACGCTCTCATACGTGGATTATGCCAAGTGGGCCATGTTGGATCCGCACAAGAGGTGTTGAAGGAAATGTGTGTTAATGGTAAAAATCCTGATCTGTGGACCTATTCCATATTGATAGATGAACTTTGCAAAAACAAACTTATTGATGAGGCAGTAGAGTTACTGCATGAGATGGAGCAAAGTGGATTAGAACCAAATAATGTTATTCTCAACATCCTTCTTAATGGAATGCTCAAAGCTTCTAAATTTGAAGATGCTTGGACATTTTTCACTACCATTGTTGATAAAGGTTTACAACCTGATTTTACAACGTTTACAATAATGATAAATGGCTTACGTACCAAGGGCTTGCTGAATGAAGCTCAAGATTTGTTGATGACAATGGAAGAGAAGGGTTTTCCTCCAGATGATTGCACTTTCAATATCATAGTTCGTGGATTTCTCCAAAAACATGACATAGATAAGTCATTCCAACTTCTTAATGAAATGGCTAAGAGAGGATTCTTACCAGATGCAAAGACTTCATGTATGATAGTGGACTTGATTGCAAAAGATGGGTTGGATCATAAATCCCTTCAAATGCTTCGCACATTTTTGCAGTATGTAGAATGAAAGGTAGTGTTGATTGCCAAACCAATACTGATCTCTTTCAATCAGTCAAAATGGGTCAATGGAGTAATTAGTTTTATCTTACATTATTGAAAATCAATCCCCCAATACAAAATCGGGAAAGAATGTTAATTTCATAGCAGGGAATGGATGTTGATAATCTTTTACCATGTGAAGCTTTGTGGATCTGAAAAGTGCATCTTTTCAAAGGAATAAGTACAAATATATCCTTGCTTTGTTTATTTTGTTTTCAATCATGATTAATGTTACATTGACCTGAATTTGTAGGGATGTCAGCAGGTTTGGTTTGGTAAGGGTTGGGCTTAACTGGAACCTTACCCACCTTGACCATGCCCCTCCTCATGAAGCACATGAAGCACATAAAGGAGGGGCTAGATAAAAGAGAATAATGTTAACAAAAAACATAATACATATAAAACAATAGGCAAGAAATGAAAAAAAAAAAGAACAAGAAAGACTTGAAATCTACATAAAACCACCAAAAGAAGTTGATGAATTATGAAACAGCAATCTATGATTAGTAGACACTAACATGAACCTCACCTGAACTGTGAAAGGTTAACCCAATTAATTACATTACAATTTACAAACCTGATCCACCCAATTGACATTCCCATTGAATATGCAGTATCAAGTTAAGTTGCATCCTGAACACTATTTTGGTTTGTATCGGCAAAAAAGATCTGTTACCAAAGATAAGTTGCACTGTACTTGATTCAACCTAGTAAGATCAAATGCACCATACACCATACCACACATCTAGGACATAGTAATGAGACCTACAGACTGCCATTTGCTCTTATTGCCGTAGAACGGGAAAGTGAGCCTGCTTCGGAAATCAGAATCCTCTAATCCTCCCAAAACAGATGTCTACGGTCTGCCATGAAGCCTTTACTTGAAACAACAGGGAAGTCACTTGACTTCTAACTTTCTAAGGATAATTATGCCATTTTCTTAGATGTATTCAGAGGTCTAATGTTCATCATCATGGACCCTAGACCCTAGTCCCATGTTAAGTTGGGGTCACTAGAATGCCCACTCAAATGTAACTCAACTTTCTTGAATGGAAGAAGCAAGGATTTGGGATTATTAATTTTTTTTTTTGTCAATGTTTGGATAGTTGATAAAGAAAATTAGATGACACTTGAACGGTATTTGTGTCTTTTTAAAATGTCACTTAACGACTGATTAACAGCTAATTAACAACAGGTACTGGATTGTCACGTTTTGAAAGTTTGGATACTGAATTATCGCAATTTAAAATTTGGGAACCGAAGTGGCACTAGGCACAAAGTATAGGGTACTAAAAAGTAAGACTCAAGATTCTCGGTGGGGGATTCCCATTCCCTAAACCCAACAATTGGATCAGAATCCTAGGTGGTAGATGAAGTGCCGTTCTGTTTGTATTTTTGCTATAAAAAGTAGGGAAAATCCTTGATTAGTACCCTATACTTTGGGCCTAGTGCCACTTTGGTCCCCGAACTTTAAAATGCGATAATTCAGTACCCGACCTTCCAAAACATGATACTCTAGTACCTGTTGTTAACTAGCTGTTAACCAGCCGTTAAGTGGCATTTGAAAAAGACACAAATGCCCTTTGAGTGCCATCTAACTTTCTTTATCAACCATCCAAACATTGACAAAAAATTAACAGTCTCAAATCCTTGTCTCGGCCCCAACTTTCTTGAATGGAAAAGGCAAAGATTTGGGACTATTAATTTTTTTGTCAACGTTTAGATGGTTAATAAAGAAAATTAAATAACACTTAAAGGGTATTTGTGTCTTTTTCAAATGCCACTTAATGGTTGATTAACAGCTAGTTAACGACAGGTACTGGATTGTCATGTTTTAAAAGTTTGGGTACTGAATTATCGCATTTTAAAATTCAGGAACCAAAGTGGCATTGGGCCCAAAGTTCAGGAATTTTCCCTAAAAATTATTCTTCTTAAAGCATAGGAAAGGGAGTGAGTCAAATGGATTTAAAAGTCGAAATCTTTTGATTTTGATATTTAGAACGGTAAAGATTGTTCCAATTTTGATTTTATATGTTTTTGTTTTGTACTTTCCAAAAAATGCATATTAAAACTCCCACAGAGATAAAGAGAGAGATTAATTTTTGGAACGAAACCATAGGATCCTGAGAGTAGTGGAATTGAGGACTGAGGTTTCAATTTTCAAATAGTCCCTCTCCCTCCCCAAATTTTGTGAATGTTTGGATTTTGTAATTTGGATTCATTTCTGTCAACAAGAACTCAACATCAACAAAGGAAGGATTCTAATTCCAGAAAATTAGGAATGTAAAACCATTTCGGTTCCAGGGAATGGAGATGCAGATGGAATTCAAATCCAGTTCTGTTCCTGCAATCCGAATGCAACCAAAAAGGTTTAAATTTGATCTTTTTAGTTTTCTTATTTTTCTGAACTGGGGTCGACATGTAACATTAAACAAAGTGAAATAATGGATGAAAGAGAGTAGAACTAGAAAAGGTTTTCAGTTGGAGGAAATATAGAAATAGCTTGCTGAAATTGGGAGTTAATAGTCGATATGTCTACAATGGTTGAAATTGAGAATATTTCCAGGGACATTCAACAAGTTTAAATGTCCGTTGAACTGTGAACGTACACAGCGAACCAGGCCCTGTCCGGCTGGTTCAGTGCTTGGTCAAGTTTTCAAAACAAAAGTGGCCGAATGGATGTTCAGTAATGGAACAATAACATATTCGAGATGAGAGTATAAATAGTAATCAACCCAACAGGCCCAACACTCACAAGGTCATAACCCTCCTCAATAACTTCTCATTCTAACAGGACTAGTGGATCTAGAGCTACCCCCTCGTCTAGGGAGTGTCAAGGGCTTGTAGCATTTTTATTCCAATTAAAACGATTGCATGCCAAATGAACCCAAGTCAGCTGGTCTGGTTCATTGGTTCAACCAACCCGATTTAACTGATTGAGAAGGTCATTAATTTGGCTCAACTTGAATCTACCCCTAGTTGGCTTTGTCAAAGTTACTAAACTGGCTTGATCATATTGAATTGGGTTTACTTAGATAATTCGGGTTGAATTGGGATCGAAAGAAAATAACTCCTTGATTGTGGAATGAGTTGACATTATAAGAAAAAGCAGAGGGTATTTCAAGTTGCAGATGTTTGATAGAAATGACATTGGTTCCAACTTGGGCTGAGCTGAATGAATGACCTCGGTTAGTAGGGCTTGGCCTGCGAAGAAGTTCAACTGACTTTTATGGGGTTGGAAAAAGTTAGATACGGCGTGGTTCAATTCAACTTTTGGCTTTGGGCGCTTGGAGCGCATAGTCTTGGTCGAGTTGTAGGCAGAAATTAATTTTGAGGCCCATTGTACATGTTTTGGAACAGTTAAAAACCTGCTACTTCTCCAAGAATTTAAACTTGGTCTCCTCGCCTCCTCAGTGGAAGGAGAGTTGAACCAAGAATTCCTCGGCAACCAGGTTGCATTTGATAGAGTTCCAAGGAATCTTTGAAAGAGCCCAGATTTCTTGCACTTCTGCTCTTCTTGCCACGTCTGGTTCATTCTCACAATATCATGTTCACACCATACTCACAGCCAATTCTAACCGTGTGTTGGGGAATATTTCTATACTTGTATGGGCCCAATTCACAGCTACAAGGGGCTATTAATAGGTGTTAGTACCGTCTTGTGAGGACTGAATCTGAATTCCTTACTGGTTATAATGAGGTAACACCAACTGGTTGGTTGGTACAATTGCTTATAACGAAAACTTGGGATCGAATCCTACCTACACCAGGGGAGTTACGAGTTTAAGGGATGGGTCATGGGTTACCCTATGACACAACACATAAATAGAAAAAGTCATTCAGCCATTATCAAAAGGCCCCCTACAAATGAAGTTATAGGGTATCACTAGATCATATTCTTGTCATGTACCAAGTAACAGACAGTCACAGTTCCATATTCTAGGCCCCTGTATTTGTGATTGTGGATTGTGGGCAGTTGGTTTCTTGACATATTATGGACTGTAGTTGTGGACTTACAACCTACAAGTAGAGCTGTGAATGGGTGGATTAGTCCCAAAATGATTATTAGCTGATTCTTTAAAATAAACCAATAACCAAACAAATTATTAATTGGAATAATCAGGGCTGACCCGATTACACTCGACATCTATAAACCTTTGATCTATGATGTAACAGTTTGAAATTTCATTCTATGATAACTTAATCAAAAACAGTAAACTGTATATGCGTGTGTTTTGTTCCGTGGGCATTTTGTGATAGGCGTTTATCAAAACATCATTATATCATCATTAAATCAGCATTTTTTTTCATCATAATCATCTGTACGCATTGATATTCACAAAAATGAGTTTGGATTTTTGTGCATTCCAACCTTTAGGGGAATCTTCATTTTAATGCTTCCCCCAATAATTGAGTGTTTATTTACTGTTCTGCTAATATTAATACGACGCCTGATTGTCAGTAAATAGTTTATTAAGTACTTTTCTCGGTTTTAAAGACAAATCAAATACAAATGCTTACTTAATAAATGGATGCTATACCAAACACATACTATAGGATAGATAAAACAAGTGTTTTAATCAAAATTATCTTATATTCTATGTATTAAATTTACCCTTTTAAACATAAAATATAATAAAAATTATAAATAATCAGTTAGAAAAACCAAAAACTGGTCCTAACCCAATCATAATTGGAACACAAAGCTGAGAACCAAAACCATATAGTTGATCTGGTAATTTTATCGGATAGGCAAGGCCCATTTAAGGTCTAGAACCCCTGTCAGTGTTTTTTGGTAAAACGTCTAATGATAGTTTGGGGATCACAAGAGAATGAATGGAAATAGAAGCCTAAAACAAAACATGAAAAATAATAAAAAATTACAATTAACTCATCCTGTATACTTTTACTTTATGCAAATAGAAGCCTAAAACAATAAATACATGGCATAGCATAATAGTTTTTTTTTTTAAAAAGATAAGTTTGTAACAAGTACAAACTTTACTCTAGGATGGTCACCTTAAAAAATTTTATTAATTGTTGTTATATATATATATATATAGAGAGAGAGAAAATGAATAAAACAAAAGAAGATATAACCCGCCGTGATCCTAATTCTGAATATATAAGATAAAACACTGCCTTACG